GACCCGGGATTTGAACCCAGGACCGCGCCACTTGTCACTACACCACTTTCTGCCCCTGATACCTCATAGGAGGTGATTATCGTTACCTACCCAAACAGCATTCATTTAGAAAAAAATAGGGCACATTCCAGCGTAGCGTCGCAGTCCGAGACAGTGTCAGGAGGCGTGGAATGAGCCCACACATGGCTGCGTTGGCCACCAGTTGGAGCCGGCCCAAGAGGAAAACAACAATTGGTAGAAAAGTGGCTGGGATCATTTAATGGCTCCTGGCACCGTCTCGACAGATTGCGACAATATTATCAAAGACTGTGGAAGGGAGGGGGTCATACCGGGAAAAAACAAGAGGAGGGTCATATTAGTGTAGTTGGAGAATGGTTCCAACGACATGATAAAGTAAGTCACCGGCCAGATATCCAATACTTTCACATTATGTCGGCAAAAACTGTTTAGGATGCGCCACGCCTTCAATTTCTTTTCGAAATAGTAGTGGTATTCGAACCCGTATCTGGACGCGTACTGGTTAGCCTTGTTCAGAAGGTTCTGAACTAAAGAGTTCACTGTATAGATCATGAATCTCCACTAACCAGATCAGCAAACGACCTCTCCAAGAAAAGCCTTGCTTCGACGTCCGATTTGGGACCAACCAAGACGGCGAATGGAAGTGATACCTGAAATCATAGTGTTGGATTAATTTATAGAAACGCTACGAGAATAATTCTGCCGTGTACAGCAATTATCCCTGCAAACAAGAGGATGCGTGAGGGGGCGTGAGTTGTAGAGCAGCCGGGGTGGCCTCTTGCACCAATCGATGCTATCCTGAGCTCGCCACAATTGGTGAAAAAGGCTGCTCTGACTGCGCTCCATTCAACTCCTCATGCGCCCTCTCCTTTGCAGCAATAATGACTTGCAACTCGCAATGGATTGCAATCGCGATGGCAGAGAAGGGTCAACTACCTGGGCTTTGAAAAGTAATTGAACACTAAAGATGAAGAGAAAAAGATAAAATGAATAACAAATAAACAAACTGCAAAGAATTGAAATGGTAACTCTAAACGAATAAAACCAAACATCAAGCTGTTTTTATCCCACCTTCTTTCCTACGAGTTCCAAACCACAGTTTGTTTTCAGTCGAATACTGTAACAGAGGCATAAATCGAATCCCGTCGAAGTTGAGCCTTCTTAGCGACGCGCTGGAAGACAACGTAAGATAAACTGGAAACCAAAAGTGTGACTCAAATGTTTTGGCTCTCTCAATGATTATCAAGAGGTTGCGCTACCTTGACACAACGCCTAAACCCGCAGCGATCCATGGAAAAAGGCTGGAGTCGCGCAAAACTCATCACTATGTTACTCAATAACTTTGTGTTCCGGCGATATGACGCCAACAAACGCCAGCACCAAAATTTCAACAAACTAGTGCCTAGCGCCAGAAATGAGTACTACTTTAGCAATATGGACGCCAAATGAGTCAGGCATGCTATCTTCATCAAAGAAAGAGTGATGGCGCCGAACTCCCACCTATCAAAGCTTTGATGACCTTAGCAGGAATAATGCATCGTTTGGGAAAACCGCAATAACAAGAGAAATTAGTGAGAAGGTTACTGGAGGAAAAATACTTACCATGTCATCGAATTTCGCTCTCAATCCTCGAGTATCCTTCTTTTGAAATGCCGCCGATGGTGGTTCAATGCAAAATTCTTCAGACTCGAATCTGAAAATTCATCCCTCATCATAAACATCGTCCAAAATAAATCATGTTCTTGGGAAGCAGGGACCAGATAACTTCTGTAAATACACATTTTGGTACATAGTGTGCTAATCTAGCTACAGATCTAGTTATGTTAGGAATCCAGTTTAGTTAACACGTTCGCGGCGGCGTGTACTCCCGGGAGTACACGAAAAAACTCCGCTTTCGGCGAATCGTGTACTCCCGGGAGTACACGCGCCTATTCGCTGGTTTTTTGTATTTTATTTTCTTTTCCCACTAACAATTGGATATAAATAATAATCAAACAATAGAGAAATAATATCCACACATTAGAAGAGGCGTGTATACCTGAAAAATACTCAAAAACTTTCCTCTTTAGGCGAATCGTGCATTCTTGGGAGTACACGCGCCTCTTCGCTCGTTTTTTGATGATTTTTTTTCTTCTTTCACTGGCAATTATGAACAAATCATAAAACAAATAATATACAAGTAATACTAAGAACATTTCTCGTGTATTTTTTGGAACCAGGTGAGGCAGTAGTGGTTTTTACAAGAGGAACTAAGAACTTTCACAAGAATCAAAGT